GTCACATCCATAAATGCAAGTTTGTGTTTGTAGGAAGGAAAAGGATCTGCTCCTGTTACATAAAGCCAATGTGTTTAATGTTGCAGTCGTTTTTGCATTGTTAGTTTGTGTATTTTACCTGCTTGTATGTGCGTTTGTGTACACACGTCTGACTTGTTGCTCTAGAGTGTGACCAATTTTTCAATGGTGCGACTAAAAAAAAAAAAAAATCCTTGGTCCCGGTGCGACCAGCTGTTCGAATGGTCAACAACAGACACGCGTTATATCGTGGTCTAAACCAATCAGAGATAGTCAGGGGCTGGACCTCTCTGATTGGTCATGGTCCAGATATTCCTGTAGTCCGTGTGTGCAGGTGGACGAGCCGACAGCTCACTGATGCGTCGGCGGGTCCGTGCTTTGTATTTACCTTTTTTTTGAGCTGGACTCTGCAGGTTTTATCTCTCAACAACCAAAATTCACTGAACCAGCAGCAAAAGAAGATCCAAACTACACTTCACATTTGATAAACATCGTCATGAATTCACTCTGACTTTTACGGTTTTGCTTCCACGATAAAAATCACACTTCCTGCACAGCTCTCTCTCTCTCTCTGTACCTCAGGAACAGTTTCCCCGTCTCAAATCTCATTATTCATTCGCTTATCACCCACCAGTCTGTTGTTTACAGCGCTGTGGTTTTAATTTTTGTTTGTTGTTTTTTATACTTAAATGACCTCGGACAAGAAAGCCTGATTTCTGCTGTTAGATACTGAAGAAATTTATACTTTTTAAAATTATGGAAAATTTCAGAAGGCCAAGAAAACCTGCTTCATGTTTTTCTGTTTGATCCTCAGTGACTTTGACACAAAGGCCTCGGCTGTGATGCTCACACCTCTGATGAAGTCTCACATGTATCAGTGCTGATAAATGATCAGAATTATAATATTTCTGACTGTTTGAGGCAAAATTGAATCGAGTCGAATGAATTATAGAAATCAGTGATGATACTCAGCCCGCGTGAGCAGAAGTGCCAAAGAGTGTCGAAGCACTTTCAGCACTTTTTCAGTCACGAGTGTTTCTTGTAGAACTGAGCTCCAAATAAAGAACTTTGTGTTGACAAGATTGTTAGTTGATCATTTACAAATCAATAGTGTCTGTATGGACAGCAGTTTCCCCCC